ACATCTGCGCAGTCGCCGCAGGCTGGAGTGCAGTGTGTGATCTCAGCTCACTGCAACCTCTGCCTCCCGGGTTCAAGCGATTCTCCTGTCCAGCCTCCCCAGGTAGTTGGGATTAGCAGGCACCTGCCACCACCACAGCTAATTTTGTATTTTTAGTAGGAGACGGGTTTCACCCATGTTGAGCCGGCTGGTCTTGGAACTCCTGACTTAAGTGGTCCGCTCATCTCGGCTTCCCAAGTGCTGGGGATTACAAGCATGAGCCACCGCGACGGCCTAATTTTTTTATATTAGTATGTTTAGACTCTGTCTCAAAAGAGAAGAGAAGAAAAAAGAAAAGAGAAAAAGAAAAAGTAATGCTAACATACGAGAAAACAAGCACAAAATAGACAGCAGAAGCTGTTCCCTTCTCTCACCCAAGGCTCCTGCTCCAACTCCAGCTACAAACACTGAAATGTTTATGTGCCCATAGTACAGAAACATTCTGCCAGTAGCTTTCACTTGTTGTTGTTGTTGTTGTTCTTTTGAGACAGAGTCTCAACCTCAGCTCACTGCAACCTCTGCCTCCTGCGTTCAAGCGATTCTCCTGCCTCAGCCTCCCGAGTAGCTGGGATTACAGGCACCTGCTACCACACCCGGCTAATTTTTGTATTTTTAGTAGAGACGGGGTTTCACCATGTTGAGCCGGCTGGTCTTGAACTCCTGACTTTAAGTGGTCCGCTCATCTCGGCTTCCCAAAGTGCTGGGATTACAAGCATGAGCCACCGCGATCGGCCTAATTTTTTTAATTAGTATTTTTTGTAGAGACAGGGCTTGCTATGTTGCCCAGACTGGTCTTGAACTCCTGACCTCGAGCAATCCTCCCGCCTCGGCCTCCCTAAGCGTTGGGATGACAGAAGAGCCACCGCGCCCGGCTTCACCATTCCTCTTTCATTTTAACCGCCCCGACGTGACTCTCCAAGATTCCACACCCCCAGCCCCGCCCCCTCATACATATTCCCGAGCCAGAGCCTTTCCAACAGGTGCTCTTGTTTTCCCTCCCAGTCGCTGCAACCCGGTGCACGGGCGAGGCCCCTCCTGCGCGTGCGTGACTGAGGCTTGGCTTTCCAGAGATCGCCCACCTCTTCCCTCTTAGCCCTGCGCAGCCTCCTTTCGTCTGTAATTCACCTAAAGACCCAAGACCCGCGACATCCGTAGACCGCGCCCGCTATGCACAGCTAAAGATCACTCACCCCTCGCGCACCAGTCCCGGCCCGGCAGCCGCTGCCCCGGGCTCGACTGGGCGCTGCTACCGCCATCAGCAAGAGCAGGAGCAGCCGGGTCGCCCCAGCGCTGGTTGCCGCCATCTCGGCTCCTTCCCACCGGCGAAGCGACGGCTGAGAGCCAGGAGCCGCGCAGCACGCCGGGAGAAACAGGCCGCATCCTGACGCCCGTGCGCCTGCGCTGGGCCCCAGCGCCTGCGCACTGGCGCCCGTCCGCTCCTGGGGCCTGACGTCAGCAGGATGGAGCCGCCCCTTTAGCGTGATCTCCAGGAGCCGCCCCCTCCAGGGACGTCATCACAAACTGGGAGCCCGCTTCTGTGTGACGTCATAAAACCCGATCCGCATCATGACGTCACAATGCCCTAGCCCAGCCCCCTCATTTTCTCTCTCGGCTCCTTCCTCCGCTCGCGTCGGGCGGGGACATCGCGATGAGGCGGGATCGCGGCGCTAAGCCGGCCCTGGGTGGAGCTGGCAAGGTGGAACCAGGTGGGATGGCAGGTGAGAGACGGAACCAGGCCTGGAGGGGTTGGACCTGGTGAGGGAACCAAGCAAAGGCTGGGGCCGGCAATTCAGGGACATCTGATACCCCGTCCTCTGCGCGGAGCTGTGCCGGGCCCTCCTGATTGGCAGCCAGACACAGCCTCCTGGGATCGACGCCCAGACTTCGTCCTGCTAAAATGCCTCCTGGTTCCAGCCTCTCCCACGGGCAGTCGCAGACGACTCCAACGCTACCTCCAGAGCGGCGAATTCGACCAGTTGCGGGACTTCCCCATCTTTGAGAGCAACTTTGTGCAGGTAGGGAGCCCCAGAACCCCCTCATCCCAAGCCTCGGCCTGTCCCTCGACCTCCTCCTGACTTGGAAAGCCCCTGTTCCCCCATAACGTCCATCACGTGGGATTCCCGACTCCCAACTCCTACTGACCTCTGATGTCCCATACCTCTAGTTCTTTAGATTCTTTGTGAACCTCTAACTCCGTTGCCTCAGTTTCCCTAACTTCACACCCATATGATTCTTGACCTTTAATTCCAGGATATCTGGCCCCCAGCCTGATTTTCAACTCACCTGGTTCATGACCTTTTCCCCTACCAAGATTCCTAACTTCTGATCCCTCCCCAGTTCTGCCGCCACATCTATTCTGCTCCTAACCTCTGATCTCTGGCCCCAGGTGACTCGATTGGGAGAAGTTGCCAACGAGGTCACCATGGGGGTGGCAGCCTCCAGTCCAGCCCTGGAGCTCCCGGACCTATTGCTTCTGGCCGGCCCTGACAAGGAGAATGGACACCTGCAACTCTTCGGGTAACTGCCTCCACCTCAGAGACCTTCTCCCCCTCCTCCCTCAGCTCCAGGCACCTGAGCCCCCAGCAGTACCTCCCCTCACCCAGACCACCCCCAGGGCCAGGAGCTGGCGGTGCTACCGGCCCTCCCTGCGCTGCCGTCTACATGGGAGAAGGACAGAGCAGCCCTCAGGGGCCAGAAATCAGGGACTAGACAGACCTGAAGGGGACAGTCCTCAGCCATGCCCCAGCAGGGGTCAGGAGAATGACCATTTCCACAGGGCCTGCTCATGCCAGATGCCCCTGGGCCATGCATGAGATCTCACCTCTGACCTCATATCTTCACATGGTGGGGTCCCTTAGCCCCATCCTCCAAAGAGCTAAACTGAGGCTCAGAGAGCTGGGAACCATTTGCCCAGGGTCCCACTGTGGCTCCAGAGTGGGCCAGGATTGGAACACCAAGCTTGTCACGATTGCGGATCTCACGGTTCTTGAGCCCTCCTGTGCCTCACTCCATACTCTCTTCTACGTCGTATTTTTTCATTGAAAAAGTAATGCAGGCCGGGCGCGGAGGCTCAAGCCTGTAATCCCAGCACTTTGGGAGGCCGAGACGGGCGGATCACGAGGTCAGGAGATCGAGACCATCCTGTGTAAACACCTGTGAAACCCCGTCTCTATAAGAAATACAACAGAAAAACTAGCCGGGTGAGTGGGGGCGCCTGTGAGTCCAGCTAATCGGGAGCTGAGGCCGGAGAATGGGTGAACCCGGGAGGGAGCCAGCTTGGCCGCAGTGGAGCTGAGATGCGGCCAGTGCACTCAGCTGCGGGTGAACATGCCGAGACTCCCATTCAAAAAAAAAAAAGAAAGAAAAAAAAGGAGAGTAATGGCAGACTGGGCGGTGGCCCGACTCACCGTGTTGATGCCAGCACTTGGGGGGCAAGCAGCGAGTCACTTGGAGGCCGAGGAGTTTTGGAGACGAGCGCGTGGGCCAGTCGATACGAACCCGTGTCTTACGAAGAATGACAAATTATTAGCCAGGTGTGGTGGCAGGAACGGTAATCAGCTGGATGGGACGGGGTGAGGCAGGGAGAATCGCGATTGAACCCAGGAGTGGAGGGTTGCCCCGTGAGCGGAACGGATGGCCACTGCACTCATCTGGATGAGGGAGTGAGATCTGTCTAAAAGAGAAGAGAAGAAAAAAAGAAAAGGAGAAAAGGAAAAAGTAGTGCTAACATGACGAGAAAACAAGCAAAATAGACAGCAGGAGCTGTTCCCTTCTTCCACCAAGGCCTCCTGTCCAATCCAGCTAAACACATGAAATGGTTTATGTGCGCATAGACGAAACATTTGCAGTAGCTTTCACTTGTTGTTGTTTGTTGTTGGTTCTTTTGAGAACGAGTCTCAATCGAAGGGCTCAGTCCCACTGAACTTGTCTGAGTTCAAGGATTCTCCTGCATCAGTCGCCTCCGAGTAGGCTGGATTCAGGCACTGCTACAACACCGACGGCTAATTTTGGTATTTTTAGTAGGAGAAGGTTTCGGCGAGTTGCGTATGGGTCTCGAATTCCCTGAACTCAGGTGACTTCTTTTGCCCTGGGCCCTCCAAAGTGCTGGGGATTACATGCATGAGTACCATGCTTGTCAGGGCTTTATTTTTTTTTTTTTTTTTTTTTTTTTTGGAGGACGGGAGGTCTCGCCTCTGTGCAGCTGGAGTTGCAGTGGCACCAATCTCGGCTCATGCAAGGCTCGCTCCGGCCGGGTTCAGCCATTTCTGCCCCTACCCTACCGAGGTAGCTGGGAATACAGGCGCCCGCCTGGCGGCGCGGCTAATTTTTTCTATTTTTAGTAGAGACGGGGTTTCACCATGGTCTCCATCTCCTGACCTTGTGATCCGCCCGCCTCGGCCTCCCAAAATGCTGGGATTACAGGCGTGAGCCACCGCGCCCGGCCTGGCTTTCACTTTTTTGACCATATCTCACAGTTCATGAAAGAGAGATGCCAGACACAGTGACTCACACCTGTAATCCCAGCACTTTGGGAGGCTGAGGTGGGAGGATTACTTCAGGCTTGGAGTTCAAGACCAGCCTGGGCAACATAGCGAGACCCCCATCTCTACAGAAATCAAAATTACAAAGCTAGCCAGATGTGGTGGCACACACATGTAGTCCTAGCTACTGGGGCTGAGCCAGGAGGATTACCTGAGCCCGGGAGTTCCAGGCTGCAGTGAACTGTGACCACACCACTGCACTCCAGCCTGGGCAATGAAGTGAGACCCGTTCTCAAAGAAAGAACTAAAGGGAAGAAAGAAGAGAGAGAAAAGAAGGGGAAGAAAGTAAGGAGGGAGAAATAGAGGAAGGAGGGAAGGAAGGAAGGAAGGACAAACTCATTGTCTCACACATGCACACATGAAGGTCCACAGTTCTTTCTCTGCACTTCTGAAGTCCAAAAGATTGCTTTGGTAATTTGGTAGCCAAATCAGATTTTGACCTGCATGTATTCAAGATTACTTACAGCATTTATTAATCCCCCCTAAGTTAAAAACCTTTCACAAAGCAGTATTCTGACGCCAGTACAGTACACTGAGATATTTTCTCTTCTACACGATGCCTTTATTTTTGTTTATGTGTTGTAGAGATGGAATCTCACTATGTTGCCCAGGCTGGTCTTGAACTCCGGGCCTCAAGTGATCCTCCCACCTCAGCCTCCCAAAGCACTAGAATTACAGGCATAAACCACCGTGCCTGGCCTTTATTTATGTATTTATTTATTCATTCATTCATCCATTCATTCATATTTAATTTTGAGACAGTGTCTCACTCTGTCATCCAGGCTGGAGTGATCACAGCTCTCTGCAGGCTCAAGCGATCGTCCCACCTCAGCTGCCTGACCCTGTCTTTTTTTGTAGAGACAGGGTCTTACTGTGCTGCCCAAGCTGGTCTCGAACTCCTGGGCTCAAGCAATCCTCCTCCCTCAACTTCCCAAAGCGCTGGGACTATACGTATGACCCACCTTGCCCAGCCCCTTTTATTTTAAATGCTAACTGTATTTCACCAGAGATCTCATCACTCACTGAATCATGACCTGCAGTTGGAAGAACACCAATGATGATGCTGAGAGTGGCTTTGACCCTCTCATAAGCTCCTTTGGCACCCTAAAACCTCTTCCCAAATGAACACACCACTGAAGTGAGAACATTGAGCTTGCTCTGCAAATTTGGCCTCAGGACTCATCTCCTAGCCCCTCACTTCTGTCTAACCAACTTCAACCCTGAGCTATTCTGGGGCAGTTTCTGACAGGTATATATACATATAGATACAGAAATATATATACATATACATACACATATATATACATATACATCGGTCAGCAACCTGAGTCTGCTGCTTCCTCCCACCAGGCTGTTCCTTGAAGTTCGTCCAGCTCTTTGTCATGGGGTGTCCAGCTCGAGGTCAATTTGCTTCTACTTTTCGAGCGCGCCACTCGAGACGAGACGGAGATTCGGGCCAGTGGGTTGCGGCTGCTCTACCGCCTGCGCGTTCCTCTCCGCTCTGCCCGTGCCCATTCACAGCAGGAGCACCAATGCTGCGAGGATGAAAGATGAGGAGGACGATGACGATGAGGTGGAGGAGGGGAGGGAAGGGGTGAGGAGGGGGAGGGAAAGTGCGGTGGGGCCCGAATGGGCAGGGGGTAGCGTCTGGGACTATCCAGGTCATAAGAGAGGAAAGGCCCTGGGGCCCTGACTCCTGGGTCTGAGGGAGGAGGGCTGGGCCCTGGACTCTCTGGTCCTGAGGAGGAGGGGCCTGGGGGCAATGACTCCTGGCTGAGGGACGGAGCGGGCTGGGCCTGGACCCTGGTCTCCGAGGGAGGAGGGGCCCTGGGCCCTGGAC